AAAAAAAAAAAAAAAAAAAAAAAACAGCTTGAAAGAGATCTGATTTTTGTGCAATAAAATGCACTCTCGGAAGGGTGCAGTTTCATGTGTTTTGAGGTACATGGCGTGCAAGCCCTACCCTATCACGACGTGAAGCAGGCATCTCCTCTTCTTTTCAGGATCTGTTGCTTAAGGCCCGGGTGCAGCCTTCCCCGGCCCCAGAGCTGTGCCCTTGAGCACCTCTCTCACAGATCCCTGAGTTCTGGCTCCCGCTTTAGGGAAGTCTCAGGAGTTCTGGAAGATGCTGAGATGGGGACCTCTAGACTGGGCTCCTCTGCCTTGGCACTGTCGATGTTTGGGGCTGGATGGCTCTGTCACGGGGCTGCCTGTCCCCACAGGATTTCGCAGCAGGCCTGGCTCTACACAAAAGAGGCCAGAAATGTGCCCAGCTGTGACAACCAAAACTGTCTCTAGATGTGGCCACAGGCCCCCTGAGGGGCAACGCCTGCACCCCACCCCCGGGGGGGGGAGCCCCAGCCTAGACACAGCTCACACTTGCTGATGCCTCGGCAGAGCCTTCCAACCAGCAGGACGTCTTCATGCACTGGGAGTCGCCCCACCCCTGCCCCGGTCCTGGGAGCCCAGCTGGGGGCAGGCACTGCTCACCACCACCTGACGGTGTCTGCCCAGGGTGGTGGTCTGACCTCAGGACCCACTTCCCAGGTGAGTGCCGTGCAGTCACCCCATGCTGGGAAGGGCGCTGCATTGGTATAATGATCTGCTGTTGCCTCTTGAAATGTTTAATAATTTTTGAACAAGGGGCTGCACATTTCCTTCCGCACTGGACCCCTCACACTGTGTGGCTGCTCCTTCCTGACCATCAGGTCCTGTAGATGTGGCCCCTGGGTCATGATATCAGACCCAGAGTTGGCCGGGGTGAGCCCAAAACAGATGGCACACACCCTCACCTTGCTCTGGGCTATCCAGTAAAACGGCTTGAGAGGTACTCCCAAATGTCACCTTGACCCAGAAGCCTCTTTAACTGCCCCAGCTAGAAGAGATTTTTATCTTTTCTTAGCTTGTTGGGGGGTGGGGATGCCCAGTTGGCCAGTAAGAACATGGCTCTGGAGCCAGACTGCATGGATTCAAATCCCAACACTGTCACTCATCAGCTGTGTGACCTTGCGCAAGTTACTTAACCTCTCTGTGCCTTAGATACCTACTCAGTTAAACAGGAATAATCATAATCCTACCTGAGACAGTGGCTGTGAGGTTTAGACAGTACATTAAAAAGCTTAAAACGATGCTGATCCATGTAGGTTCTGAGCTGCTGTGATTGTTGGTTTTTGAATGTTATCGTTCCCATCACCCTTTGCCTCTTCATGTGTGTAGGTTTTGTTCCTCCCCTCAGGAGAGCCTGTCCACATGGGCTCCCGACTGCAGCAGGTGCTGGGCGCCCTAACTAAGGGGTTTGCACGAGGCCAGTGTTGACTTCCTGATCTGCCTCCCCCTGTGAAGGGTTTCAAGTCTGCTGAGGAGGGCGCGGGCTCCAGGGCCCCCAAAACACCTTTCTGGTTTCCAGGGGAGACTTGTGGGTTTGTTGGCAAAGCCTGCTTCGGTGATGCCCTTCTGCCTGGTAGTCACGCTGCTTGCCTGGCTTCCCAAGGCAAATATAAATGCTACCTTGAGATTTCAGGATATTAGACCGGAACAAAAAGAATTCATATGAAATGAGAAAAGGGATCATTAAATTTCAGAAAGTATCAGATGTGGTTTGACGTCCAGTTCCCTAATTTCAGACCTGATTCTCTGTTGTCAGCTGTAAGGGTGGGGACCGGTGGGGGAACCCTGGTGGACCGGTGTCTCTTCCTGGGGCTGTGGTAGCAGACCACACAGCAGAGGTCCGCTCCAGGCGTCTCCTTAGCTTCTCCCCGTGTCCTCACATTGTTTCCTCTGCCAGTGTCTGTCTGTGTCCAAACGTCTTCTTTGTGGGAGGACACCAGTCATCTTGGACCAAGGCCCACGCTAATGAGCTCATCTTAACTACCTACATCTGCAACGGCCCTATCTCCAAATAAGGTCACATTCTGAGGTTCTGGGGGATTAGGACTCCAACATGGGGATTTTTTTTTGGGAGGGGGACACAATTCAACCCCAAAGTATTTATAGTCTGGTTTGCGGGACTTTATTGGAAGGACAACAGAAATAAAAATACTGGAGAGAATTTTTTGCTGCACAGGAGAATGGTGTGTGTGTGTGTTGTGTGTGTGTGTGTTGTGTGTGTGTGTGTGCAGTTAATTTTAACGTCCCTAGGCCTCCGTCTCCCTGTCTGTCCGATGGGCGCGTCCTTCCACCGCCTGATGCTCTGACTCTGGTTTCACAGGTCACCAGTGCCCTGCAGCCACTGGACACCACTGTCCACCACTTGCACTCGGCCGGGGGGGACACCTCGATCACGGTGTCCCGGCTGCTGCTGGGTCTCCCGCAGCCGGAGCCTGTGGCCCGCATCTCTGCGGTGCTGGACGGCGTGGTGAAACGCATCTATGAAGTGATTGACATCCGGGTGCAAGGTGCGGCTTTCCTTTGTTGTCCCCTTGGGGGTGGGGGCCGCCGGAGTGTGGGAGAATCATCCAGTGGGTGAGGGGCGGTCAGGCCCACCGTTAGCTCATCCCAGCCCGGAGTTTAAACTCCAAGTTCTGAAGCTGAGATTTTGAGAACTCGTTCTGTGCGAGCATCCCCTTCCCCTTCCCTCCTTCCGGCCTCCTCCTAAGCCTCTCACGCCCAGTTTCTCCTTCCATCCAGGTGGGGCTGGAGAACAAATCCCAGAACAGCACACAAATAACCCACTTGCTCAGTTCTTTGGTTCCCAAATTTCCTTGTGGCCTCTTTCCCACCCTCGCTAAGGACATCCTTATATCTCGAAGGCTCTTAAAGCAGAGTTTGCACAAATCTGAGTTTGGTACAGCAGATAGATGTGTTTCTGGAAGAAATTACCTGGCTTTTCTCTCTTTCTATTTTTTTTCTTTCTGTCCATGTCAGGGTTCGGCAAACTTTCTGAAGGCCAGATAGTAAATATTTTTGGCTGTGGGCCACAAGGCCTGTTTCAACAGCTCAGCTTTGCAAAGTGGCACGAAAGTAACCTTGGACAGTCCATGAGCAGACGGCTGGGCTCCAACGGCACTTTCCTTCCCGCTATAGGAGGCAGCTGGAGTTTGCTGCACCCTTAGGAGGATGTGGCCACTCTTGTGAGGCAGCTCTTTCTATGACGCTGAAGGTCACACAGAAAGACGCCAGGGTCTGGAGCCCAGGGAAAGCTCTGATGATGGCATTTAATTCCCTTCAATTCTACAAATGTTCTTGAAAACCAAACCGAGCAGCGCCCATAAGCCAAGTGCTTGTCTCGTCTGTTCTGACAGGTTTCCGTCTGGAGACCCTAGAAACTCCCCAGCAGGTGAACAAGGAGGGGTTATCTCACGAGGCAGCGAGAGAGAAGGCATGCGGCAGGGCCCGCGGGCGTGTCCCGCGCGGGAGGGTGTCAGAGAGAATCCGTTATGGGGTGTAGCTCTGATTGGGTGGCTTAGGAGAGGGAGGGGTAAGGGAGTGGGGCTTGCTCTAGGTTGGATGCTGTCAGAAAGCAGAGGCAGTTCTGTGATTGGGTATTTCTATCAGTCTCATCCACGGGGAGGGGTAACCAGCATGAAGACAAGCTAGGATTAGTAAAGAATGAATAGCCCCTCATTGCGGCCAAGAGAGGGGTTGGTACTTGGTGGGTGACGGTGGCCTTTTTTTTCCGTCTGGCTTAGAGAAAATGGTGATATGGCCTTGCTCTGTCCTGGCTGCCTGTTCTGGGCAGGTGCACCCGCCCGACAGGAGAGGGCCAGGCCCCTTCTGCAGGTCAGGGGCTGCTCTGCCCTATTTCTCCATCCATACACTGCCGTCCACAGGATAGATGCTTGGGGAGGATGTCTGGACCTCATGATTTCAGACTCAGCACAGCCCCAAAGTGATCTGCTCAGGCCACAGCGCCCACCCAAGCACATGGAGCTGTTCCTTGAGCCATGGGCCAGCTGCTCCGGTGAAGAGGGCTGTGACCGATGGGACCTCTAAGGCAGGGCATTAAGAGGCCCCTGGGGACCGCGGCCCAAGCCACTTCCTGAGCTCGTGTGATGCACATTTGGAGGTTAATGGGAAGGACAGATGGCCCTGATGAGCATTCTCACCTGTTCTCCTTTCCCACAGATGTAGATGAATGTTCCTATGACGAACTCAATGCCTGCGCTGGGAGGGGACGGTGTCTAAACATGGAGGGCTCGTACCAGTGCCTCGGTCATCCGGAGTCACCCACCTCGTCCCCCCAGAAGCTGGATGGCAGCTGTGAAGGTGAGCGACCAGGCTCTCCAGGTGGGGAAGGAAGGCCTTAAGGAAGCCTCAGTTGAGATGCAGACACACCTTATCCCCTTTGGCCTCTAGAATTCTCTCTTCTTTCTGGAACCTGATTTATGGCTTTAACAACATTGTTACAGGAGTGCAAGGATAAGTCGCCCCCAGTCTCAGCACCCTGGCAATTGTTCTTATTTTCTCCTGTTTCCTTCTAGTTTTTTTTTTTTAACCTTATTTAAATCCTGCCACGTATGCAATTTTGTATTTTACTTTCTTCACTTCCCATTATGTCATATAAAGATTTCCAAGAAGCAACCTTGTCTTCATAATCACGATTTTCAATGCTTGAGTAACAGTGGTATGCTATAGCAGTGATACAACGCTCTTAGCTATTTCCCTTGTGGGGGACTTGTATGTCACCTCCAACATTCCTCTCTGAAAACTACAACTTTCTCTAGCATCATGAAGTGGTTGGGGAGAATCTTGTTCTAACTGAGTTTGAATAAATTAGTGATTTAATCCTCATGTTCTTTCCTTTAAGGGGAGAGGGGTGATTGAGTGGTGGCTATTCCTAAGGTCTCTGGATTTTTAAAAATGCACCTACCAGCCCCAGCTCTACAACCAGACTCGCCTATCCTGTGCCTTGGGGGCTTTGTCCGATTAGAACTGTGCATCTCCTCTGTGCATAATGTGCCCACAAAGCTTTGCACAGAATCCTAGCAGACTGTCCTAGATCTCCTGCGCTGTGGCCTCGGCGGGGTGGGGGGGGGGGGGCC